TATATATATATGCAGTCACTGCTGCAAAAATTTGAAGCATTTCCAACAGTAGAAAACTATTTAGATCACAAGCATATTTAAACAACTAGTGGTTATAAACGCTTTTCAAGGTAAATATGTAAGAGATCTGAAATTAACCTGAAATATGAGTTGCACAGTGCAGTTAACCAAATGTCCAGTAGGTGTCTCCCCTGCATAGTGTAGTGTGTTATTAGTCTTTTACAATTAAGAACTGTTCTAAAAACTAGAAATAGAACCCTTTTCTTAAAGCAACCTTACAGCCACAGTCCAGGGGAACACCCTCTGTTGGCCATCTTGAATCAGTACTTGAGAGTTTCTCCTTTAATTCTTTTCTTCCTTGTTATTTTTTAAATAATAATAAAATAGGAATGCATTTTAAGCAGAGTTAATATGGAAGTCTTTAACCAGTAGTCATAATTAAGTAGATATATAAAAATTCCATTTATAACCAGCAATTATTGGTTATATTATTTAACATGAGTTGGACGCACAGGCAGGTTGCTGACCTTTGCATCAATTTTGATCATTTGAATTTTTATCACTTTTCATTAGTAAGTGCTTCCTTCTGTTTCAGATCTTCGGCATGATATTCAGCATGGTCCTTTGCTGCGCAATACGAAACTCACGCGATGTGATATGAAACTACTTCTACGTGAAAAGTGCAATCTAGAGCTTTCATATAAACGTTGCAGGAGCTGTCTCCTGGCTCACTTTTAATATTCAAAGGACATTAGGATCTAATAATTTGCTGTCAATTGTACATTTGCACATGTATGTATGCTTGGCTCATTAGTGATCTGCCCCTCGAGTGAATGTCTATGTATGTTGGCTGAGAGCATATTCGTGTGTGATCTGTGTTTCCGGTATATGCATTATACAGAATGAAATCGGTTTCCTAGGAATTCCTGGTTCTTGTTATACAGTGAGAGGAACGACCTACTTAACTCTCAGAAAAAGATCAAAAACTTTGAGAAACTTTCAAAACTTGGCTATTCATAAAAAGTAATAATGGATCGGTTTCTCAGAGTCTAGCCACAGAAAGTTAGGTACAGAAAGTCCAGGGATTTCTAGTTAACAGAAGCAATAAGCTATGGGAATGGAGAGATCATGGTGTAGTGTTAAAATTGACTATGTCTGAGGAGAGTGTAAGGGTTCCTGGGATTTTTTAATATACATACTCTCCCCAGAATACAGTAAACCACAGTTTTAGAACTAAATACATCTGTAAAACTAAGTATAGCATGGAAAATCTAATTTGAATAAGTCATACTTTCCTAGTATTTAAAAAAAAAAAAAATGCCCTCTGGAAAGAGTGGTCACACAGACAATCATGTGTCCTATAAAAGTGAATGTTTTAAGGACTAAAAAAAAAAGCCTTTTAACAACTTTTTAAGGAAATATTTTTGTTCTTCTATAAAGATGTTTAAATATTGCTTTATTACTTTCTTTTTCTGATGCTGCTCTGAACTACTGCAACCCTCACACCCCCAAAAGGGCTTTTATCTCCAGCTTTTCTGTATTTCTCCCAAAGTAAGGCTAGGAAGACTAAAGTAAGAGGTCTGACAGTTGGACATGGTGGGAAAGGGAATTTTTACTGGGACTGTATCTTTAAAATACCTCATAACTTGAGTTTACATATTTTCCTAATTTTCCGTAGTTTTCTTATTTATTCAGCTAGAGAATCCTTCTTCATAGATTAAGAACTACAGTTTTCACTTCTTAAAATAAATAAAACAAAATCCTTCAGAAGTCAAATATATCATAAGCGTCCTTGGCCAACCCAACCTAAACAAAGAAAAGCACCTTCTCCCAGTTGTGTGTGCACAACAGAGACAGCCTAAGGAAACAAACATTTCCACATGCACAGCAGAAATCGGGTTTGTCCAGGGCAAGACCCCCATAAAAAAAAAAAATTCATGTTCTTTTATGGCCTTGATGCTCCATTTTAAGTACGTAAACCCAAGTTTAGGATCTAAATGGACATATTTGTTAATTTTTAACAACTCGGTATATTTAGTAAATCACAGAGTTTTAAAATTATTATTACATTTTTAAAAGCCACACAAAAGTGAAAGTACTGGGGGCTTTGGAAACCCCCAAGTAAGTTTGTGCACATGTGAGAACACGAGTCTATGGGTGTGCTCTTCTAAGAACCTCTTACAAATCATTTCACTGAGAAGGCTCGTCTGAAATCGTCTCACTCCCATAGAGAACCACATTTCCTCTCTACCATACTTACTACTGCTACTAGGTTTTTCTAGAAAAAAGTCAGATTGGAAGCAAACTAAAAATTGAATTGTGCATGGTACTTGACTATATCTATAGCTAATGAAAATATTATTTTAAGAAAATCGCTTAATGAAATAGTTGTTTGTACCCCAGTAGTTGAGAAATACCCCCTTTTAAGCAGAGAACAAACAGTCCATCTCTCTTGGTGGCTTTAGTTCATCCGTCTGCCTGGAGACACGAAACAGGCCCAAGCGCATACTCAGGTTTTTTCCAGCTCAGACTCAAGTCTGATTCAACAAGGGGGAGCTTCATTGTATATCTGAATTAACAACCTTGAAAAAAAGAGTACAATGGTTAAAAGTAGAAGAGTAGAGATTTGTTCCATATATCATTAATGTGCCCCTTTTGGGAGTAATTTTTCCCAAATATGTGCCATGAGTAAAATTAGAGAATCCCACCTCTGAGTGAAGGTAGATTTATATATATCTTGAATCTGTATACATCTTGAATTCCTATATATCTTGAATCTATATATAGCTCTTGAATATGTATCTCTTGAATATAGATACGTATATAACTTGAATATATGTATACATGTGTGTATGTGGGTGTGCATACAAGTACATGTATATGTACACACACACACACATATATATGTAATTTTGGTTATTCTGTTTACCTGAACTAATCTGAGATCAGACCCAAACATTCTCTTAAGCATCTGGTGCCAAAGTACTGAATTAAAACTTCTTGATGAAATATTTTAAGTTATTTCAAATTAAATTTTCTGTGTATTAGAATTGCTTGTTTGGTTTATCTTAAAATCCTATTATATCTTTATACACACCTTCACACAACTTATCCAAAGGTCCAACTACCAATCCACCCAGACAATATGATGAAAAAAGGAAATAGTGATTACCCTTCTATAATGATAACTGCTAGGAGCTGGACTTAAAACCAACACCCCGAGGACTTCCATTGCAAATAGTTATATTTCAATTAATATTGTTTCTGCCAAGTTACACCTCCTCCCCAGAATAGCTCTTTCGTTGCCCATGGTTTAAATCTGTAAAATTGCACACAGGTACAGGGTCCAACGTGGTCCCCATGCAGTCATCAATGATAGTTGCTCTCCTTTCCCCTGTGAGGAATGCTAATAGGTATGCTTGATGGGAATGAGACTTGTGGGAAGATGGTGGTGAAGGAGACAGCATATTTTCCTTCTGAAGTAAGATTATCAAAAATGAAAAGGAAGAGGCACCCTCTGTACCATGGGTAAAACATGGTTTCCATGGCTCCAAGGACAGCAATTGGGAATTCAGGAGGTACACCCCAACTTTCCTGATTCTCTGCTCCCTTGGCATCTGCTTTGACCACCAGCCCCTCAATTTCAGCAACCCCATTTTCCCCATCCCTAGGAGGGAACACTCATGAGCCCTTGAAGCCAGTCAACTAACTACGTCATCTTAGTTTAACCAGGGGTGAGGAAACTTTTTTCTGCCAAGGGCCATTTGGATATTAACATCATTCGCAGGCCATACAAAATTATCAACTTAAAAATTAGCTGTGAAAAAAGCTCCTAGATTTATTGAGTTTCAGTCTCACCTGTGGTTGCCTTGGCAGGGCCAGACCAAATGATTCCGTGGGCCTTATATGGCCCACAGGCCGGATGTTCCCCACCCCTGGTTTAGGTTCATCAAAAGCAAATTTGTGTTAAGGTATATTTTAAGAAAGACCAAGATTTTCTATTTTCTTTCAACATGACTTATCTTTTCCTATAAAATATACCTGTAAGGTATCATATGTAGGTATCTTTTGAGAGGTAAAAAGACTACACCAATGCAAAATGTCATTCATCATTTTGATATTCTCATTATAATGATGAAGGCTAAATGCATTCCAAGAATCCACTATTCAGACAACTATGTCCTGGGTACAATGGAAAGCATAAAGAATGGAAGTAATATATTCAGAAGCTGCAAAGCAAAATCTGCTGATTTTATAAAGTTTTTAGCTAATGTGCCAGAAACCCTGCCAAAGCTTTGGTATTTGTTTGGTTTTTTCCTATATAATTTCTGATGGTTTTACTTGTATTAAATAGAAGAAATGTACAGTGAAAGAGGTAACCAACAAAGTACTTAGTATACCTGGCAACTAATGAATATACCTATTGTTATAATTATGTTGACAGGGAGAATTTTTGTTCATTATAACTCAAACACACATAATCATGTATAACTGAAGATAGTTCCACAAAACCTATTTGAACACATCCATTTGCTTAATGAATAGTTTTCAATATATTTCCCAATTCTATTTTAATTCAAAGACTTGGTATTAATAGCCCCAGCAAAAGTCCCTATATTTTTCTCTGGGCCTGCTCTGCCTTGTAAGTTACAACCCACACTAATGTTAGAATTATTTTTCTTTACTTTGTTTTGGGGCTACTATTATGTACATTTGAAAAATACTCTTTGTAACAGTATTGATATACTAAGACGAACAAGACAATCTCTGCCCTCAGGAAGAGTGTAATACTTTCAACAATAAAGACAATTTTTTAAAAAAAAATTTAAATCAATAAATAAAAATCAATTAAAAAAAATTTTTTTTAATGAAGAAGCCCAGCTGGGCATGGCTCAGTGGTTGAACATCGACCTAGGATCCAGGAGATCGTGGTTTGATTCCGGGTCAGGGCACATGCCCAGGCTGTGGGCTAGATCCCCAGCAGGGGGCATGCAGGAGGCAGGCGATCAATGATGACTCATCATTGATGTTTCCATCTCTCTCTCGCCCTCTCCCATATATTTTTTAAATAATAAAAATTAAATAAAAATGAAGCAGCAGCAGCTTAGAGTGGGAAAGAGCTGGCAAGTTTCATTACTATGAGGTAAGCGCTATGATAAATCATTAACCCCGAGTGGACCCACTCAGCCTTGGGGAGGATGGTCATGGGAGAGAGGTTTCCTAAATGTTGAGGTCTCTAAACTGAGGCCTGAGGAACCCATACAAATTAGCCGAGTAAAAGGTAAATAACAGGGGTAGGGAAGGAAAGGGGACTGCTGGGGAACAACATGCAAGAAGACAGAAATGGAGAAAGCATGTAGACATTCAAAGAGGGAATGTCAAGAACTGAGGAGATAATCTTAGTATAGATTAAGCAGTACAGAGGTCATCAGGAAGATTTTAAACAATGAGTTACAAAATCAAATTTGAACCTTTTATTAAAGATTCCTTGGCCTCAGTATAAACAATGATTGGAGGTCAAAGGCCAGAGTTGTGAGGATTTCTAACTAATGTACTGGAAATCCTACCAAGAAGTAGTGAGATGTAAGAGAAACTGAGGGAAAGAGGAGCCTAAAATGGTTCCCAGGTTTCTTGGCAGCGGGAAGAGAGTGGAGCACAGAAGGCAGGTCGCAGGGATCACGTTGGAGGTGACTGTGGGACATCCAGGAAGAAACAGACACACACCCTGGATGTATGGCCCTGAAGCTCAGGAAAGAAGTCTAGACTAGAACTACAGCTTAGGAATCTGCAACATAAAAGCAGTACACCCAGATCTGAAAAATCTGAGCTACCTCTCATGTTTAAGACCTCAGTGAGAAATTAAAATTTAAAAAATTCAAAGGAACGAGACAAAAACTCATAAACACAGACAACAGTATGGTTACCAGAGGGAAAGGGGGGAGGGAGGGGGCAATAAAGGGTAAATGGAGTCAAATACACGGTGAGAGGAGATTTGACTTTGGATGGTAAATACACAATGCAATAGACAGATGGTGTATTGTCAAGTCATACACTTGAAACCCATATGATTTTATTAACCAATGTCACCCCAATACATTTAATAAAAAAAAAATTTGATTCTCTACGAAGTTAAAAGCCCAAAACAATTCTTTACTCCCCACTCATTTCTTAATCTCAAACTAAGGTCTCTCTCAGCTACCTGTGTTCTTTCAGTAACTGCCATCTAAACTGTCCTACTGAAATGGGTGTAATTCCTTAGCACGTCCAAGGTTGAACTAACACAAACCCGTTTCTCATACGCTCTACATTCAATGGTGTTCAAAGGCTCAATAGGACCATAGCATAGATTCTGTGTCATCTTAGAAAAGAGGGGTAGAAAGAAAATACACGAAGAGAGAAAAATGTTGACTTCCACCTCTTTAGGACTGATTATAAATGTCATGGATGTATTACATTTTTAATCCAGATATGTGACCTCCACTGGGACCTCTGGGGAAGCAGAGAGGTCAGGGAAGATCAGAACTAAAAAGTGTCCTGTGTATTGGACCATTAGTGAGTCACTGTTGACCTTACTGAAAACAGTTGCAAGGGAAGATAGGAGCAGAGGTCAAATGGTGGTGAGTCAAGAAGAGAACAAGAAATGAGAAAGTAAATGGTTAGTGTAGGGAGCTTGCTATGGTCTGAATGTTTGCATCCCCTGGAAACGCATATGTGGAAATCCTAATGCCCAATGTGATGTTATTAAGAGGTAGGGCCTTTGCAAACGCCTAAGTCATGAGGGTAGAGACTTCATAATGGGATTAGTGTTCTTAGAGACCCCACAGAGGTGCCCTGCCCCTTCCACCAAGTGAGGACACAGCAAGAAAGAGCAGGCTATGAACCAGGAAAAGGGCCCTCATGAGAGCAGGACCGTGCTGGCACCACGATCTTGAACTTCCCAGCCTCCAGAGCTGTGAGAAACAGGTTTCTCTTGTCTATAAGCCACCCCGTCTGTGGCATCCTGTAATAGCAGCCCACATGGGCTACACGGGGCTCTTCCACAAAGGAACTGGAATAAGAATTCACGGAGAAGGGCAAATAAACAGACGGCTGCGCAGGGTCAAGAGAGGGTTGTTTGCTTATTTTTGCTTTTGCTTTTTTTTTTTATTAGGATGAGAAGAGATTGAAGGCTGCTTTGTGCTGAGGAGGAGTCGTCGATCAGAAGGAAGCAAGGGAACATACGAGAGGAAAGTGCAAGGCTCTGGAGGAAATGTGGGATGGGATCAGGAGTATCTTTTGAAACTGGTGATAAAGTTGCTAAATCAGTCAGTATTTTTAAGTGGCGAGTGTCAGAAACCCAGCTCTAGCTTAAGCAGAAAACTTATGATTGCTTCAGAACAGGCTCAAATAGTATCGCTACGTCTCTCCTCACTCTCCCTTGCTCTCCTCTGGGTCAGCTTTACTCTCAGGCAGGTTATCTCCAGGAGATGCCAAAGTAGTACAGCCATCTAGGCTCACATTCTATCAGCTTCGGAACCCCAACAGGCCAAGCACTCCTCCTTGTCCAAAAGTTACCATAAAAGCCCTAGGACTGACTCCTACTGGAAGAGACTGGGTGACACGCCCATCCCTTCAACAGTCAGGTTTAATTGAGCTAAGTAGCATGCCCGCCTCCACTAGCCCCACTCAAACCATTTGAGTTGAAGACAGGGGTAGGGAGGACCCCCCAAAAAATCAAACTGCAGCTACTAGAAGAAGGGCCATGATGCTAGGAAGGCAAACACGGCAGGAGGGAGAAAAACAATGCAAGCAGAGAAAGTGATGCGGGTTGTTTTCAAAGATAAATATGAATTAACCAGATAAAAGAGTAGGGAAGAGTTAACATTGAATGATATGGTAGAGCAGAAACTGCCTCAGTAAAAGGATTTTTATTGCACTTAGACTTGCTGCTCAAAAAAGAGAGAAGGGCAATTTCTACGTAAAAGGGAACTTTCATTACTTGAATTCCCTGTTATCAGGAAGCGTTCTGCTGTTACCCGTCAATATATCCGTGCTGGTGCACTCACTCACCCCTGAGGAGTCTGGCCATTGGAGAAGGGGAAGGGGCTGCTGCACTCTTCCCAGGCCCACTTAGTTACGAAAGAACTCTATATTTCAGCCAAATGAGGAACAAGAGGGATTTCTTTAAAGCACCAAGCCACAAACTTCCTCTGCCAAGAACTGACTCCTTTAAACTTTAGGCTGAATTTAAAGATCACTTCAGAAGGTATTCCAAAGTTCCCATCTCTCTCTTATTACACAAGCAATGATTCTTCACTTTCCCACTTCTAAGCTCTCTAGTTAGTTCATGTCTCTTAAACACAAAGAATACCAATACTTTCCAAACACAATTTCCGTATGCTCAAGTTTCTGGATCCAGTTGAGGCAAATTGTTGGTCATGCCAGTCCCTAAGCTCCCTCTGTAGGATTCTTTGTCTTGGGCAACTCCACTTTCAAGTACAGTTTAGTATAATGCGTATGTGCCTCTGTCCCAAGTGGATTGCGCCTTCAGTGGAAGGGGTCAAGGTATCTCTGATGTACCCACTCTAGGGTTCGGGGCCCATGACGGCACAGGCCCTCCACACCTGCTATGATGTCTAGTCTCCTCCCTTCAGGCTGAGGGAGCCTATTTAAGAAAGTCTTCTGAGCTGGACTATTTACAAGCAGCCTCCCTAAAGACCTCCCGTTGTTTCCACAGTTAAGTCTTTGGAAAATATTTTTCAGATTCCATGATTAGTGCAGATTAGGTTTGAACATTAGGTTTTCTTACTTATTAATCAAATTATTTGATATACAGTTATCAGAGGGGATGTTATAATCCTGCAGCTTTAAGTGTTCATGTTATCAAGTGACACGAGAACCCAGAGCTCCGGATTAGCATTTGGAGACCATGCTAATATCAACTTCAGATATTAAGGTAAAAATAATTTGTAAATTCCTGACTTTGTATGTAAGTTTACAACCATTCCCTCCCCATTAGAAGAGCACGGGCTTGGTACTAGTCGACCTACACAACTTCCCCATCCCCACAGACACTGTCAGCAGGCAGGAATTTGCAAGATACCCCGCTGAATGCAACCAGTGACTGTGGGATACAGCAAAGCCAACCAGCCCTGCTGACAACTGACTTTCACCCTGATGGCAACAGTCTGAATGGAGAGAAATGGACGAATATAGGATAAATCATCTTTTTGAGGTCAAGTCTGCAGGGCACTAGGTCTGCCTCACTTCACTTCTAATTGAAACCAAACCCTCACGAAAAGGGCCTATGGAAGGAAAAGAAAAATAAACAGCCACTTACCAAGCACATTTGCCAGAAAACAGCGTTTCAATATTGATCAGTGTTCAGGTTAGAATTTAGGAAAATTTTACTCTATTAAAGCCCTTAGCACTCTCCCCAGTCCCTAAAATCTTTCACAATCGTATCAGGTTTTCATGACATCAAAAGCCAAAACAGTACAAGTTGCTTTTGGTATAAATGTTGAAAACTGTCTCTTATTACTTGAAAGACTACAAAGGATTTAGACGTTCACATGTAAAATGATCGTGACCTCTTTTCTAGGCTTTGGGGGTATAACTTTCATAAGTCAGTCAGCCCACCAGAGTAATTTAATTTAATTAAAGAGACTTGGTCTTCAACCAGAATGCATGGTTTAATGAGTTGGGTGAGGTTTTATCCTGTGCATTTGAACAGTAGGATAAAGTATGATGTTGCAGATTTCACATATTCCTCACTCTCTACCTCCTCTCCAGTCCTCTGGAAGCTGATACTAGCATGCTCTCCAAATATTAATCTGGGGCTTTGGGTTCTCATGTCACTTGATAACATGGACACTTAAAGCTATAGGATTATAACATCTCCTCTGATAACTGTATATCAAATACAGATGCTTGATTAATGAGTCTAATCTTCAAACCTAATTCGTACCCTAATGCCACGTCCCTTCAGCTTCTGATCGCATTGCCCTCTCCTTATAACTCTGTAGCATTCCCACATTCATTTTCTATGTCAGGACAAAATTCGTGGCCCTCTGTTAAAAGGGCTTGCTGAAGGCTGACTTTCCTTAGCATTTCATGGCCCTGTTCCCCATTTTACCTGCACTCCGCCCTGCCACATGGAAACCATCATTTGAGCTCGAAAGGACCTTTTGGTCAACCTTTTCTTTTAAAGCTCCTAAGGTCTCTCATACATGCGTGGGTATGGGTATGGAAGAAATAGTACTCAGAATGTACACAGTGTATTGTGAAATATATTGATATATTACTCGTTTTATTCCAGGCAAACACATTTAACTGAACCGCAAATTACATTGCTATTAAAGTTAAACAGAAAATCCCACCATATAGGACTGCTGCGGTTTGGTACAGTAGTTTGTCTTGATGACCTCATGTACACAGTCACTATAGTCAGTATTGCACTTGCCACACTTACAGCTTACAGCTATAGGATAGGAGAAATAGGGACTAACATGGCGTGGGCATCCCGGTATTTCTACTGTCTTGTACATGAAGTCTCTGTATGTACAAATGTCCTGGGACAGAGCATATTTGGGAAGAAACAGCTTGCCATTGATATCCTGAGGAGAGAACAGAAAAAGGAGCATAATATAATAGGACTTTAGGATACATATAAATAGAAACAAATTAAAATTAATTCACTTATATTCCTATGTCACAAATAGGACTGGGGGAGGATTCCTTAGTTCCATTCCCCAATACCAACTCAACACATCTTCACTGAGTCCCACAGAGACAAACATGGCACACAAACCCTTTTAGCTTTGATCATGGCAACAATATAAGGTTTAAATAAAGTTTGGAAGTAACCTGTTATAAAATTATCTGTACCCATTGTGCTGAGTAGATACATATAATTTTATAACCAGTGCGCTCTACCTCTAAGGAGCCAATAACCATTAGATTTGGAATATGAGGTTGTGATTTATCTCATTTCCTTTCTGCATAGAAATGGACTAAGTCTAGGTTTACCTAATGTACAGCTAAGAGAAGTAAGATGGACTACGTACCCGCGTCATACAATATCCAGCACAGATGGTGGTGTTGATGGTTAGGCAATAATCACACTCTTTCCTCTCAACATGCATTGTATACTCAGTTGGAATACAAAAAGACGTCGCTTGCCCACATGCAAGGCCAAAAAGCATGGACATCAGGAAGGTAGCAGTCATGCTAAATTAAAGATAAAATTAAAGTATCTATTAGATGTATCCTTTAGGACATTCAGAAGGGACATTTGGAAAGAGCTAAATATATATAATTTTAATACAATGCCTACTTTGTCCTAAGCTCTACATTGTGTTTTTACATAGTTAATACTCCCAATAACTTTTCTTCATACACTTGGATGTGGCTATGACCCCATGGTGTATGAAGTCACCTAGTGACGGTCCTGTTTGCAAGTGCTCCTTCGCTCCACTGGGCAGTAAAACAGCAAGCCTGAAACCCCACAGCAGAAAAGTGGCAGAGACACACGTACCAGCTAAGTGTAAAACAATTCATTCAATGGAAGCAATCCAAATACCTGCCTCAATGACTAGAAGAAGTGAATGAACAGTTAGGCTGCAGTAAGGGCCTTCTCAAAACTGTAGTTTTTGAAAAACTTTTGAAAAGGCCAACAAATGGGTCATAATCAGAAAGGGCAAAGAAACCAAGAAATGCAAATATCTTGCATATAATTTTACTCATTGCCTGTCAAGGAAAACAAGATGAAGCTACAGAAAGTCCAGAAAAGATTAATTAAAATTACCACTGGTGTTAAGGAGCTGACCCAGAAATCTAGATACTCTCCTTCCCCATCCGCAGGATATTCCTCTAAGGTTGAAAGTAGACTTGGATGAATAAAAAATTATGTTACTCAGAAGATGTATGAAATTCATTATCTTAAAAAGATTACAGATGCAGCCCTGGTCAGGTGGCTCAGTTGGTTGGAGCATCGTCCTGTACACGAAAAGGCTACGGGTCGGATTCCCGGTCAGGGCACATACGTGGGTTGTATGTTCAATCCCGGTCACAGCGAGTATGGGATGCAACTGATCAATGTTTCTCTCTTTCTCTCTCTAAAAATCAATGGAAACATGTCCTCAGGTGAGGATTTAAAAAAAAATTACAGATGCAAAAAATATAGGTTGACACAATGAGAGTAATACAGTCAAGGATGGCAGAGCCATTGTGGGTTAGCCAGGAAAGTAAAGTATGTTTGGCTGCATGGAAGACACCAGAGGGTCCATGTGCCTCAGGAAGAAGGAGAACATGTATCTCAAGAGAGCCTGTGTGCTAAGAGTTTGTTCAGTATCAACTGGCATCGTAATAAGCTGGATAATGTTGACATAATTATTTTAGTTCTGCTACTGAGAGCAGGTAATCCAGACTTTTGACCCACAGTCATAATCATTATGGGCACTATACAGTTTTTCAAAGTTCCTCTTATAAATGTAAAACTCTAAACTAACAAAAGGAGCATCTTAAAGTACTGAAATATCAGCAAAGTAGCTGTATAACTTTGTGGATGTAAAGAAAGTAAAAATTATTCTTTCTCCTTTACTGCAAATAGTAAAACTCAACCCACAAAATCTAAGTCTCAAGTTCTTTATCTAGAAAAGCTGAGAACCAGAAGATGATCAGGAAGTTCTTTTTGGCACAAATAGTCTGTGATTCTAATGTGATACTTGAGTGTCAGACTCATGGTCTAAGAGTTGGTGACCTAAAATTCTGCTTCCAAATTTCATTGCAATGTGTGTCACTGAGCAATTTAATATCTTTGTGCCCTCATTTTTCCATATGCTCCATCATAAACTCATAAAAAAGAATAAAACAGGTGTGATGAATTTGGAATGCTACAGAAGACTATATAAATATATACCTATATCTATAGATGCATCGCTATATGAATCAGTGTGAGTTAACACCTCCCTAATGTGATCTGCCACAATTTCTCTTTTATCACCTGGATTCTCATCTTGACAACTTAATCGCCTCCTTTAAAATCATCATAAATTATTTAGTAGTCAGCTAAATATAGAAGGCATGATTTGAGGCCCTAAATTACAAGAGACACTTTTTTCAGTGGCATAACCATACATGTCTACACTGCCAATGTTTTTCCTTCTTCTAAGATATCTTCTCTCTTTTGCCCCTTACTCTTTTTCTTTCCTTTTTCCCCGCTCGCTACCTTCATTCTCAATAAGCACATTTTTCTCAGCCCTGCTAATTTCCTTCACCAATCTTTTCTCCCCAAATTCCTTACTACAGTATGAAAAGAATCAACTGCCTACCCTATAAACAACCCAGGAACTTTACTAAAGCAACACATTTTTCTAGAGTAAAATGTACTATAAGGCAGGTGTGGGCACTGGACACTATCCAAGGTGGTTTAGCTATTAAATAACTAAAATAATACAGAGTAAATTACCCCTGCAGGTACTCAAAATTGAATTTACTCTAAGTTTTACCAGACATATACTATCATAAAGGTAACCATTAGCAATTGACAGAATTTAATAAACAGGTTATTCAATTGGCAAAAATATTTAAATTGAAATGTAAATAGGAAGAGAAAGCCATGAGCATCAGGAACTTAACCAGTTGTTCCTTTCCAAGTTAATGGAATTTTTTCTTATCCTTATGTATGTAGTTCACTCTACTTCACCCAACATTGAACAATTTTGGAGCAATAATTAAAATTCTGAGAGCTGATCCAAGCAAATTATCACTCAGCATTTGCCATTTTTGAATAAATGCTAAAATGGAAAAAGTGAGAAAAGAAGAACATTTCATTTTGCAAAGCCTCCTCAGTGTAGACACCTACCTTACTTTGCAATGGCGAGCTGACGCTGTAATGGCTCAGACTAAAACCTCTTGGTTCATTTTATACCCTTTGGGATAAGTCCTCTCTGATCTTGTTTATATAATTGTGTTTGAATTACTGCTTCCTTATCTGAAAAACATCTATTGAAAATTCATACTGAACCCCAAATAAAATGTGTTTAGATAAACAATTTCACAACATCTTCCTCTGGAAACTCTGACATTACTGCAGCATAAATTTTCCTTTCTCCTATTTCAAAATAAAATTACCCTTTTAAATACATCCTTTATTAATGTTTATTAATATCAACAAGGATATACACAGAGGAGGAAAAAACCTTAACATCATCTAAGTAAGATATGGAATGAAAATTTATTTGGGGCTTGAGTGCCCCAAATTTTACCTAAGTGCTCATTTAGATATAAGTAAAATTATTGTTTATCTACAAAGCAACAGCAACTTTTTTACGGAAATCCAGGACAACTGGCATATATGTTTCTGATTAAAACCAAAAAAAGTTAGTACAATATATTTTTCCTTTGTACTTAAAATAGTAATAAATAACGTTTATGTGTGACACAGACTGAAAGTAAAGGAACAGAAAAAGATATTTCATGCAAATGTTAATGAGAAAAGGCTGGGGTAGCAATACTTATATCAGACAAAATAGACTTTAAAACAAAGGCTATAATAAGAGACAAAGAACGATATTACCTAATGGAAAAGGGAGCAATCCAAGAGGATATAACCCTTGTAACATTTCTGGTCTCAATACAGAAGCACCTAAATATATAAAGCAAATCTTAATGGACATAAAGGGATTGACAATAATACAGTGATAGCAGGGTACTTTAACACTCCCATTGACATCAATGGATAGATCTTCCAGACAGAAAATCAAAAAGGAAACAGCAGCCTTAAAGGATACACTAGATCTGATGGGTTTGATTGATATCTTCAGAGCAGAATATACATTCTCAAGTACACATGGAACATGCATTCCAGGATAGACCGTGTTAGGACACAAAACAAGTCTCAACAAATTTAAGAAAACTGAAATCACATCAAGTATATTCTCTGACCACGACAGAAATCAATTACAAGGAAACAAAAACCTGAAAAACGCACAAACACATGGAGGCTAAATAACATGATACTACACAAGAATGGGTTAACACTGAGCTCAAGGGAGAAATGAAAAGACACCTTGAGACAAATGAAAGTGAAAACACAACAACCCAAAGTCTATGGGTCACAGCGAAAGCAGTCCTAAGAGGGAATTCATAAAACTTACGTGTGAAATAATAGTCATTTAAGTAAATGACCAAATCTGACAGGATGTCGAACTGATCTGAGATCAAATCCTGGCTCTGCCATTTGCTGGCTGCAAGACACTGGCAAGCTGGAGCTCTCTGTTCTTCAGTTTCTTCATTTATTCAAAGGTAACGTCATTGTTTATGTAGAGCACTTAACACTGTGTCTGGCAATATAATAAGTGTCCAATAACTGATGGCTAACTTATAATAATTCGATATTTATTTACTTAACAAGTATTTAGTCACAGTGCCTAGTACATAATAGGCAGTCATTATATTTGCTGAATGCATGAATGCCTAAGGGGATGCATGAATAATTATTGAATTTTTAAAACCACTTTTTTCTATCTCCATTGCTGTAACTCAAGTTTACCCCCTTTCAATCCATTTGCCTCACTATAATAAAATATGCCTAAAGTTCAATGCTAATTTCCCACTGTACTCAGAAAAAATGTCCAAACTTCTTAGCATCATTTATAAAGTCCTTCATGTCTCCAGTTTCATCTCTCTCCACCCCCCTAACTTCTCCACCCTTTCTCTACTTTCTCTGTTCTTCAGCCTAACTGAGTTGAGTTCCTCAAATTAGTCATACTTCCTTCCCTCCAAGTCTTTCAGAGGACATTCCCTCTCTCTGGAGCGCCTGCCTTGTCGCCACTCCATCCCCATCCCCGCCTGTTACGCATCCTTCATGAATTAACTGAGAAAGCACCCTTTTTGCAAAGCCTTCAGAGTCCCTCAGGCCTCCCTCATGGTTAGTTGTTTTAATAGAATTAGAGAAAAATACATAGAACATCCGGCCATGATAGATGCTCAATAAATCATAGATATTATTATAGATTATTGACAACCCCATTACTCTTCATTGTCCTTGTCTTTACAGTTAGTGAAAGTTAATGAAAAAAATAAGGCCTGGTATAGGTAAGTCTACCTGGCGGGGGAATGGAGAGTTAAGGCAGAATCTAGGATATATAACCGGAATAGCCATTCCAGGGGCCCCCAATTCTTGGGAAAGTGTTATGTAGTAAAAGAAGAAATCTGAAAACAGGTGAAGTGAAAATGAGGATGCCAAATTTAATCTTCATGTGGTTCCACACAAGATGAGTACAGTAACTATGGTAATGTTGGATGTTAGTTTCTAATGGAAGTAGTGCCTCTGCTATATAAAGTATTGATTCCTGTACTCAGTGTCTAACAGATTTATATACACATCCCTGGGAAACATATATACACATAGTAGGTAACTGATATATTCTTTCCCTACTACTAGAAGAACTATAAAAGCCATCGTACATTTGGATAATGATTTTATTTTCACATGGGCTCTAATGTATATGATCTCATACTGTTAAAAGAATCCAGGCAGATTGAACTTTCACTTCCAGACTGGATCTACTCTTCCCATCTCAAATAACTATAAACAGGACAAAATATAGGAAACAATGGTTCCACACACATGGAATGTTAGGCAACAAGGGAAAGTTATCCCAGAGAGACAGGAAACAAACAAAGGAACTACAACTTCCTGCTGGAAGAAAGTTTCTGGGAGAGGTATCAAGGCAGAGGCAAGAAATGTCCCCAAACTGAGGAGATGGACCTGCAAGACCATGGAGCCCAAGGTACTTGGAGTTCACAGGGAAACATATTGGAGAGGAGAGAACTGAACAGAGAGAGAATTCTGGAGATCTGTAGAAAATCTCTCTGAATATTCAGCTGAAAACTGATAAACTCATGCATGTGAAAACCCAGATGAAGCTGGAAAGAAATACCTGAAAGGATTAAAGAGAATAGTCCTGGGGCTCACGCAGACATAGGCATAGTGCTTGTTCCAACCAGCAACAGTGGAAAATTTCCTGATTCGTGGGAAATCAGGTAGTATACTTAGAAGGGTTTTATCTCACTTGTGGGGAAATATTAGCCTTAGACTAAATGCTGCTCTGACCCTGCCTAACAAATCTTTAAAGCCAGACCCAAAAGGATCAACTATTTGCAAGTAACAGAACTGACTTAGAGAACAAAGCTGAAGAATATTTATAGGAATACAACAATATCTGACTCCCAGGAATGTATAATCTACAATATGTGGCATTCAATAAAAAATTAATAGGAATGCAAAGAAGCAGGGAAATATAATTCATAATGAAGAGAAAATTAATCCATTGAAACTGGCCCAGAAATGGTATAGATAATAAAATTAGTAGACAAAGGACACGAAAACATGACACCACCAAAGGAACACAATAATTTCCTACTAACTGATCCCAAAGAAATAGAAATGTGAGTAACCTAAAACAATTCTAATTAATTATTTTAAAGAAACTCAGTAAAATTCAAGGGATCATAGATATACAACTCAATGAACTCAGGAAAACAATGCATAAACAAACCTAGAAGGTGAACAAAGATATAGAAATCATAAAGAAGAGCCAAATAGAAATTCTAGAGCTAAAGAATATGTAAGTCATATTGAACTCTAGCATGCAAGTTAAAAGACAGAATTGTTGCCCTGGCCAGGTAGCTCAGTTGATTGGAGCATAGTCCCATACACCAAAAGTTTGCGGGTTCGATTCCTGGTCAGGGCACACACCCAGGTTGTGGGGAACTGACCAGATGTTTTCCTCTCTCTCCCTTCCTCTCTCTAAAATCAATTAAAAATTTTTCCAGTTTTATTGAGACATAATTGACATGTTATGTAAGTTTAAGGCCTAATACACAGAAACAAACACAGAGAGTCTGGCAAAATGAAGAGACAGAGGAATATATTCTAAACAAAAGAACATGAAAAAAAACTCAAAAAAAGACCTTAATGAAATGGAGATAAGCCATCTACCTGACAGAATTCAAAGTAATGGTCACAAAGTTGTTCACTGAACTTGGGAGAAGAATGGATGAAGACAGTGAGACCTCAACAGAAAATGTAAGAAAGTTCCAAGCAGATGCTATGGAGCTGAAGAATACAATAAATTAACTAAAAAATACACTAAAGTGGTTCAACAGAAGACTGGATGAAGCAGCATGAATTAGTGATCTGGATGACAAAACAATAGAAATAACCCAGAAAGAGCAGCAAAAAAGGGAGAAAAATCGAGTGAAGATACCTTAAGACCTTTGGAACAATTCATATAAAATAACATTTCCATTATAGGGGTCCAAGAAGGAGAAGAGAGAGAAAAACTGCCAGAAAATTTATTTGAAGAAATAATGGCTGAAATTTTTCCTAATATGGAGAATGAAACACATATCCAGGTCTAGGGAGTTCCAAATAAGATGAACCCAAAGAAATCCACACCAAAACACATTATAATCAAAAGGACAGAAGTTAAAGATAAACAGAGACTCTTAAAAGCAGCACAAGATATCTTGTGACATACAAGGGAAATTTCATACGGCTATCAGCAGATTTTTCAAGAGAAACTTTGCAGGCCAGAAGGTAGTGGCATGACATAGTCAAAGTACTGAAAGAAAAAACTTCAAACCAACAGTTCTCTACATGGTCTATCTATTGATGTAACAGGGGTATTAAAGACCCCTACTATCACTGTAATGTTGTCAACTTCATTTTTAGTTTTGTTAATATTTGCTTTATATATTTTGGTGATTCTTGTTGGAGATACATGTATATATTAATGTTTATATCTTCTTACTATATTTACCCCTTTATCATTATGCAAAGTCCTTCTTTGTCTTTTATTACAGTCTTTGTTTTAAATTCTATTTTGTCTAATATGAATATAGTTATACTAGCTGTCTTTTTGTTTTCACTTGCATAGAATGTCTTAATCTTA